TTTATTTATTTATTTGTTGGATAAAATTCTGCAAAAAAACTCCCCAATTTTTTACATCTCTGAAACTTTATTGAAAGTCACATCAGTACATAAAAGAAGCACAAAGTTGATTCAAAAACCGAGAAAACATAAAATACAGTAACAAATTACCATCTAATAACATAAAAACTTTTACTAAACAAACACTTTAAATCAGCTGCCAGTGTAACATAGTTTAGTAGATTATTTTAGCTTTTATTGTGCTAACTCTCATTAGATCTATTTTAAGATTTTTTGTCTGCTTTACTTAAATTTACTGATTAATCTTCCGATAATTTATAACTTGTGCAACTATTTCATTTTAAATGTGATTTATAAATAAACTTTAACCTTGAATAGTTGGTAAACTCTCTATTAATTTACATACACATATTTTCCACTGATGTCAAACTTTGACCTTCGAGGAATGTAAAGTAAATGTTTTGAATCATCCAATCTGGACCAGCTAAGCAAACAATAATTTACCACAAACGTTGCATCTTTTGAGTCTCTGGGATCCTAAATAATGTTTTAAATGCTAAGAGTCTGCAACAACTTTCACCAGTTGAACAGAAACAAACCTGAAGTTATTATTTTATAGAGGAACGATCCAGATTCAGCACATTGCTTCAGTTACTGCAGCTAGAAACCAGCGATCAGGCCTGAAATCTGAACATAGTGATGGACTGAACATTCAGAGACACATAAAGACGGTTGCAAAGTCAGTCTTCTATAACCTGGAGAACATTTTCAGGATTTAAAGACGTTAAAAAAGTATTTCTGTTAGATTATAAATGACCAAATAAATACTTTTAAGATCTGCTGCTGTTGTTTCAACCTTCCAGTCGTCTCAGGTCTCCTGGTTTTAGTCTGCTCTGCATCATCCAGAACCAGAATTTTCAGTTGTTCTGCATCAGTGATGCAGAAAAAAACTGTAATCCTGCCGGAACACTGAGCTCCCTGAAATCAAAGCTAAGCCTCGTCTGTTCAGAGCTACTTTTGATTAATAACAACTGGAACGTCCATTAATTCTGGTCTGGGTTTCACCTTTTAGTAGCTTCTCTTCATTCTGTCACTTTAAAGCAAAGTTTCGTTTTTATTTGTTGTTTTTAAACCTTGAACCGCTTTGTTGCTGACATATGCTAAACTGACTTGACTAGAATGAGAAATATTTAGCGGCTCGTCTAATTAATCAGTGGCAGACGGGAGGAAAAGTTACAGTTTTACCGTCTTTCCCATCAAACCTTGTAAAGCGAACTCGTCTCTGAACTGAAGAACTGTTTTGCTGTCAGCTAAAAAGTTTTATAATTCTTCAAAAAGTTGATTTTTAAGAGAATAAAGACATCTGACTATAATTCACACCTTGTATTTTGTAATACTAACAATTTATCTCACCATTTATCTTGTATATTCAGCTGACTTTAAGTTTTCTGATCTATTCACATCTTTGTGGTTTCACTCATTCATGCTACTGCTGAGGCGCAAACATTGTACTGAAACACAAAAAAATTAGTTAAAACGAAATGAAACATATAAAAACAGAACATAACCTGTAAAATCAGAGATAGGAATCAGAAACATTGATACTTTGATTAGGCCATTCTGTTCTCCCTCGTTTATAACGGCGTTGAAGGAAAACACGAGAAGCCGCAGAACGCTTTCATGACCTTAGATCCTGCAGAGGAACAAAACAATCAGAAAATCACTTTCCTTTGACAATTCTGGATAAATTCAAGGTCAAACGTCCAGCTGGACTCACTCAGCCTCGGGTTTCCCTTCATCCTGCAGCAGAGGCAATGCTTCAGCGTCTGCTTTTCCCCTCGGATATATTTACCCGTTTGTGGCTGGTGGCATTTTATAACCTTGAGTAAACCTGAAAGACATAAAAAGGCACAGAGGTTAGTAGTTGTTTTGCTAAACTCCTCTAAATGTATCAGTTTTGAGTAGAATATTCCTGCGACCTTTGACCTCTTGAACAACTTTACTCAACAAACATCAGCATCAGTTGTGTAGAAATGAACTGGTGAAAATGTGTGCAGAAATTGTGATATTTCAAGCTTTTTAATTGATTTCTTCCTTTTATCTAATCATTTTGGTGGGAAATAATAGATGTATCAGTTTTGATACAAAAAAATAAAAGAATCCAGATTAAATTTTAAATAAAAATATCTTTAAACCATTAATTTAAATAAAAAAGCAGCTTTCAAGTATTTCTTGCGTCAGTATTAATGCTTTTAGATGTATTAACAATGCTATCGAAGTAATTAATGATTAATTTTGATTAATTTTACTCACCATTTTCATTTAATCCAGAAAGTTTAACCTGCTTTTCTTTATCATCTGTGGGTATCAGTGGGTAGGGACACTTTACTCTGCCAGGGGAAATCACTGCAATGGAAGAAACATTTATATCAACACCTGCTCTGAAATCTACAAACATCTAAAAATAAACATTTCTTTTGATTAAAAAAAACAAAAAAACAAAGTTTACTCACTTGAGCATCTGCATCTTTTGATTTCTCTGGTTGTAAATCCAGCAGAGTGAAATTCGTCACAATAAGCTATAAAAAAAATCAACACTTAGTCAAAGTAAGACGTCTTAAATAATGTTTTTTGTGAGATATAGTGGAGAATTAGCATTAAAGGTTATTTTTTTCTTTCGGACGTACCTGTTTTGTCGAAAAAGCAATCGATCAGAGCAACCAGCAGCAGAGTTGATGCTATAATCTTAGCCATCGTCGCCCCAAATGGTTTGGATAAATCTGGAAAACCTCACTTTTATAGTTTCCTCGTCCGTTTGGCTGCAGAGTCCTGGATAGGTCATGACACGTCTGGTGAACCTTTATTTTGAGAACCGAGTTTATCTCTTCAGTTTGTTTGTTGAATGCGATGAACCTGGAGATAGTACAAACTCCTGCACAAACATGACTTAGTTCTGATGAGCCTCCGTCAGTAAACAGGATGAAACGCAGCAAACGTGTCGGCTAATAACATGGCATTATTGCCGGAACAAACCTTCACTTTACTGAGCAAAAACAGGAATTTCCCCTCACAGGACGCAGAAATAACCAACGAGAAACCGAACCAACCTGGTGATCAGACCCTAACGTAACTTGCTTTTAAAACACAAACACATGGTCAAGTTTCTATTTTCAGTTTTTATCTAAACGCATCCATTCCTCTACGCCATTAGTCACAAACCTGAGGTCCGAGGGCCAAATCCGGCCCGCCGTAGCTTTTTCCGTGGCCCTCTAGATTCTAGACTAAACACTAAGTGTGCTTAAATATTATGTTATCAATCAAATTAATTCAGTTTTTATCCATTTACTTCCAAATTACATCAGTCAGTCCTTCCAGTTTCTTGGGAATTATCATGGAAATTCACACAAAATCATGACGTCATGTTTTTCTGCAGGTGGCGCTGCCGTTTTTCACTAATTGTTTTATTTCAGTTTTCTGTGAAGCTGCGTTGCTGCATCTCTGTTCAGTGGCACCACCAGATAACAGGCGAATTAAAAATAACCTTGCAATGGTACAACACGAAGTATTCGTCTACATAAAGACGCCTGGCATATCAACTTTCATGATAATTTACCGCCACTGTTCATGTTAAACCTCCTTACATCTCTGTTACTGTCTCACTAACATTGCATCCATATTGTTTCTTTTCTCAGTGACCTCAGATGACCTTTTTCAGCTCGGTCTCCAGCTTATTGACAGCATCATCCCACTCAGTGGACCGACTTGTTTAGAGGCAGAAACCAGCCAACTTCTGCTTCTACTGACAAATACATTCACATCCATCCACTGTTGGATGAACGTCAGATTAAAGTTTGTCTTTTAATTATTTATTTTTAACTGTTCATGTTCTAAATGTGGAAGAATCAGTGGATGTACAACAGGAACAGCTTTGAAAAACAACAATCGGATGAACGCGTTTGGATTTATTGTGGCATAATTCTGTTTGGTTGAATTAGTGAGGTTCATTTTAGCCAACAAATAATGGCATCTAAAGGGCCATTACAGATGCTAAATGTGGTCTTACAATGTTTATGTTTTTGTCAGATGGACCAAAATCATAAAGTCAAAATTAGTCACACGCCAGGCAGAGACAACACATGAGTTTTATGCAAGGATAAGGAATTAAAACAAGGGGCGAGACGGTCTGGTTCTGATGCAGCTGTGGAAAGCAACCTTCCGACCTCGAACATGAACATTTGTTACAAACATTTCAAGAACATTTCATATGACATGACTAGCAGATGTGACCTTATTGTAATCTTTTCCATCACACACAACATTGTGACAGATTGAACAAACATGTAAATATATATCCATCCATTGTCTGTTCACCTTTGTTCCTAGTGGGGTCAGGAGGTGCTGGTGCCTATCTCCAGCTAACGTAACGGGCAAGAGGCGGGGTCACCCTGGACAGGTCGCCAGTCTGTCGCAGGGCAACAAACAGCACACACTCATGCCTAGGATTAATTTAGAGAGACCAATTAACCTGATAGTCCTGTTTTTGGACTGTAGGAGGAAGCCGGAGTACCCGGAGAGAACCCACCACGCACAGGGAGAACATGCAAACTCCGTGCAGAAAGACCTGGGAATCGAACCCAGATGCTACCAACTGCGCCACTGTGCAGCCCTGCACGTATATATATTTACAAATACATATATATAGATTTATATATTTATATATATATATATATATATATATATAGATTTATATATTTATATATTTTTAAATTAAAATTACATAAAGCAGCTTTATTGTTAAATCGCAAGAAAACTCTAACCTCTGTAATCAGTGTTTACGTCAGAAAATGAGGAATATCTTTCGACTAAAGGTAAAAAGGTCATTTTATTTATATCGCACATTTCCAAATGACTCAGGAAGTTTCTCCTGACTCATTTGCATTTCTGTAAATGAGCTGTTGGTGTCAAAGTTCACCAACTTGCAGTGTGGTTCAGCGGAGCCTGTCATTGGCTGGTCTCTGACTCGGGAGGCGTGGCCACGCAAAACGTCCCTCCCACCGGGTAAACCAGCCTGCAATCACAACCGTCCTCATCGCATCGACCGCGCCGTGACGTGATTCACGGGAGGAAATCCCCACGGCAGAGAGAGAAAGGTCCCTTTAAATCGCTTTCTTCCTCCTTGGTGTTGTGCCAAGTTCGGCAGAGAAGCGGCTGAGAGCTCCAAACAACAACAACAGCGGCAGCAGCGGCGGCGGCGGCTCTCAGCTGGACACTTTCCCCGATTCAGCGCTTTAGCAGGGTGAGCTACAGCCGCTGTTTGTTTTTACTTAACGGATCCGCGGAGAGCTGTCTGGGAAAAACGAACGGAAATCAACGGTTTCGACCCACAGATCGATGTGGAGACATGTTGTTGTCATGTTAGCCGTCGGTGTGACGCAGAGGAAATAATGTTACACCTGTTAGCGATAACAATAATTGGGGTTATTTCTGTTTTAAACGTTGAGTAACTGTCTGTTTCTTGGCACGCGCTCCGCCAGCGCCCCGGAGTTACAGCCAACGGTCGGTTCTGGTTTCATCAACAGGGCGTTTGGATTTTTCCGACTGTTATTGCCAACATTTTGAGGTTTTATTTGTGTTTTTTAGCCTCCACACGTTTCGGCGTTGAGAAGCATTGCGGAAGTAGCGAGAGTCTCCTCAACGCGACAGCGACACGCTCGGGGCTGTGCTGACACCTAGCGGCCGAACAGGAGAACCGCAGCATGTACGGAGCTTCAGGAATCCCCGAGCTGATCCCGCACAGCGGGCCGCCCCGGCAGCCCGGCCCGGCGGGGCAGTTCAGCCCGGGACACCCGCAGGCGCACGGACACGACGGCGGGGCGAACCCCCAGAGGCTCGGACAGAGAGCTCCGAAACTGGGTCAGATCGGCCGGTCCAAAAAAGGTGAGAGAAACTGCAATCTGTTGCTTTTTTAAATTTTTTTTAGGGATTCATGCTGGTTGTTTTATTGGACTTGCCACCAACATATTGGTGTTTTGCTCAAGTTAAAGTAAAAAGTAGATGTTCAAGAAATTAAAATTAAAAGATGTTTGGTAAAAAAGTGACTCCAGTACTTAATAACTGATCAAAACATCTTTTTGATATTTAAAAATTACATAAAACTTAGAAATTTCTGTTTTTTTGTTTTGTTTTGTTTTCGAAAACATCTAGGACAAACTCCTAGACTCAACATTTGATTGTTTTTTTGACAGAAATATACTGTTTTTTATTTTCCATATAAAGTTATGTGGAGATTTTGGTATTTTGTTGCTTAAAAATGAAAATAATTACAAAATCACACAAAAGAGAATTATTTCCAAGTCAATTTCTTTCAATATAAAACAAATGGGACTTTAACAAAAACTGCATGTGAGTTTTTGGTTAAGACAAGCTTGTCGTTTTTGCTTCAATAGTGAATAACTGCATGTAAATTGTCTCTTTGCTACTTTTTTTCTGTCTACAAAAGTAAAATAATTTCATGATTTTAATATAATTTTTTGAAAGCCTGATTTGTTTTTTGTTTGTTTCTTTTTTGGTTCTCTAGCTACAATAGATACAGATACGCAATACTCAGAATAGGTAATATTCTCTCTTTTGATAGAGAAACAGGCCCACAGCATCACCATTCCTCTGTCATACTTTGCCATAAAAGGACTTTCCCACAGATATAATCCTTGATTGTTTTGGTCCTGGGGAAAAATGGAGACATCTGCATAAAAAACCACAACATTCAGCAGAAAATGCGTCACAGGAATCAGTTGCTGTGGAGCCAGCAGTTTTTTCTTTTATCGCTGTGTTTTATTTGACTCCACAACAGAGATGTTTCTATTTCTGAACTCACCTCATGCAAATGTGGTGAACTGAATGACGGAGACAGCTTTCCATTGAAACCTGCCAGGGAAAAAAGCCTAAATCCAAACTGGAAACCAGACCATTTGTTTTTTGTTTCCAAGCCTCCTACTGACCAAACTCGTCAAGTTCAAGAACAAGAAATTACGAAAAAATCATGTGTTGTATGTTTTGTATGTGTTTGTACGTCCATTTGGGTCTCAGCTGCTTCTAAAAACAAGTGCTTAACAAAACCTTTTTTGGTAACAAGTTAATGTTTTTTTTTGGTGTCTGGAAAATAAGCTGCTTTAACTGCACCGTTACCCAGCAACCCCCAGCCTGCTGCCTAGCAACCCCCAACCTGCTGCCTAGCAACCCCCAGCCCGCTGCCTAGCAACCCAGGCGGAACTCCAGAATGTTTGGTCAGCTGGTTTTAAAGCTTCATGGATCATAAAACAAATGGAGCACAAACCAGAGGAGGCTGCGACACACTGAGGCGTACTGCACAGTTCAGCCAGAAGGTGGCGTCGATAAGAGGCAAACAACCAAAATATGTCAGAAATGGTGAAAATATGCAGTTTTAAAAAAGAAACAAACCAGTTATGTACACATTTATAATGTGTACATATTATAAATATGTACTGCTCATAGTGTAGAGAGTTGTGTCCTGTTTCATAGTGTTTCTGTCTGTTGGCTAGTTATTTGTTTATTCATTTGTTCTTGTGCCTAGTTGCTTTAGGACAAAAGATTAAATGCTGCTGTGCAAATTCGTCCATATTTACACTGGCATAAATTGTGGTAATGTTGATTAACCTGCACTGTCCTAATCAAATAAATGTAATTAAATTACATTTAAAGTGACAAGGCTCAAAGCAGGCAGAACTGCAGAGACAAAAATCTCATTGCCTTAGAATTACTTTGTGCAAAAAATTTAATAAACCTATCAAGTGTAGACCATAGACTTATGTAACCTGTTAAAGGAAGCATAATGGGTCACTTTTAAAGTTTTTTAAAATTATTTTATTGAGTTTAAAGGTATAATTTAGTTTTTGAGGATTTACAAACAATTCTGCACCTTCTTTCAGCTCAGAGAACTTGTCTATTTCTATGTTGGATATTTCATTTCTTCATTTTTTTGTTTTGAATTGTTCTGTACACCAGTAAAGAGAATTCCCAGAATTTCATTATGTTTAGTTGTTGAAATTAGCGACATTATGTCTGTTAGTAGAGAGTCTGACATGAGGAAAAAGAAACATTACAATGTTTCCTGTTTGAAATCTTGCTAACCACTACTCAAAATCAAACTAACACCTATTCAAAGTTTTGCTAAAAGTAACTGAGTCAAGTTTATTCAAAGATAAGCTAACAGTTGCTTAAACTTAATGGTAGGTTAGGGTTGGGGTTGGGGTAGGGTTAGGGTTAGGTTTAGGGTTAGCCTAACCCTAACAGCAAATCAGAGCAAAGCTAAAAGTGAAGCTAACAGCTTGTCAGGGTCCATCAGTCAACTGATTAATTCGGTTAATTTGAAGCAGATATTTGCTAACACCATCAACCCATAGAGTCAAATCCAGTCAAGCTAATAGCTGGTAAGCTAGTCTCTGAAGCTAACACAAGTAGCTTTGCTCAGCTAAAATGTCTTTCTCTTCTTCCACAGTGGATCTGGACGACGAAGACCTGGACGACCTCATGAACAACAACGGCCAGTGCCCCGTCTCCCTGTCGCCCATCTCCTAACTTCATCTCTGAGAAGTGCCAGAAACCCGTTCCAGTCAGCGCTCCTGGTCCAAAGTGTCCTCTGGAGCTGCTGATGGCTCCAACACGGCTCATTTCGCGCCGCCTGAACGGAGCCCTGCTTGTACATAGTGTCTATTTAACTTCGCTCAGACTGTGAATAAATGAATCTCTGTAGGCCGTCGAAGGATTTCTTTCAAAGCTTCTTTTCTGATCGGCCGGACGTGTCTGACGAAGGTTACCGATTCTCTGCTAATTTGTTGTGTGAAGGAACACGAGGCCCGTTGGGGTGAAAAATTAAGCTTTTGGTTGTGCAACGACTCGCACAGATCCGAACGGAGTAGCTATGAGCGCTCGCTACTTAAACCAGAGGAAAACGACTACTGCAAATTATTTATTGTTCAAAGAAATCTATATTTTTAGCTGTCGTTGTGGCTTCTACTTGTTTTTTACTTTGTCATCTAAAAGTGAGATTTAAGACGTGCACTTTGTGGGAATGCCTGTCATGTGCTGTGACACGTCGCAGAAACCTATGCATGAGGTCTGTGATTAAAGGGCTATGTTGTAGTTTTTTGGGGGGTTTTTGCAGGCAGACGGCAAAATTTTGATGCACTTTTTCTTTTCTTTTATGATTATAAATCAAATTTATATCTAAATATATTCTGATCCGCATGCGTTGATGTTTATGATTCGTTTTCGTCATGTTGTCTTTCTGACTCAGACATGATGGCAGTATGAGATCATAAAAACGGGCAGCTCTGATTGGCTGTCGCTGCTGAGACAATCTAACTGATGTTTTGGGGATTTTGTGAAGATTGCAGTGGAATAAGACATAATGGGCCTTTTAAAGGCTCACCGTTGAGGTCATAGTTCACCAGTGGGGGATGTTTTTCACACATTTTGACTCTGAGGCTGGGGTTGTTTGCCTTTTGCATGAAAGTGATCAATCTTTCATGTTGCATCTCTGGAAATAAATAAAAGTATAAATTCTCATAAAATCTGTTTTTGTTTTTATTTCGGTTTGCATAAACGGCTTTAAAACAACCTCCGATTATGTTATTTATGGTAATCTTCCAACTGGTTTCTGAGTTTTCCCTAACAAATTTTCAAATGGTAATTTATTTTTACTAAATTAATCTCTAAACTTTCAGATTTTTTTTCCAAGCAAATTTTAGACTTTTCTGAGAAAATTTTAGCTTGAGAAGTAAAAAAATTGAAAGAAAAAAAATAACATTTTGAGATTATTCTCAGAAATTTGAGGAAAAAAAGGTCCTGTTGGTTACAAACGTAAAAAACCCTCAAATTTTCAACATTGTTTCATGCATTTTTTTTTTTTACTTTTCAAGCTCAGATGTTTCTAGGTCTTATTTTTCTTGAACATTTCTGTGATTGATCTAAAAAATGATTTTTTTCTGATAAACTTGACTTTTCAATCAGAAATTTTCTCTTTTTTTCTAGACATTTTCTGACAAGTCTCAAAATATTGAGTTTTTTTCTAGTAAACTTTTGACATTTCAAACTCAGAAATGTCCAAGTTTTTTCTAAAAAGTTCAGAATTTTGAAATTGCTTGAAATCTTTTGATTTCATGCTCAGAGAATTTCTAGGTTTTCTTTCTGGTAAATGTTTGACTTTTCAAGCTAAACAATATTCATGTTTTTTTATTTAAATTTCTGATATTGATCTCAAAATTTTTTACTTTTTTGGCAGAAATATGCTCCTTGTCTCTATCCACCCTGATACACTGTTGTAAATTTAAGCATTAAAACTGTTTCCTCGACGTCTTTAGCAATATTTCTTGCCATTTCTCTCAAAAGTTTTCCAAGTCTCCAAAATGCATTTATCATTATCTAATGTTAACATTTGTTTGATTTAATAAAGGTCTGAGAAAAAAATCCAAAGAAATCTGTAAACAGGATTTCACAACACTGTAGGTAACAATTTACAAACATCCCACACTTAATGTCTACTGTGTTTTTATTTATCTAACATGTTAAAAATACTTTTTTCATACATTTTCTATGTTCCCATTATTCTGTAGTTACAGCTCAGAGTGTAACAGTGTAAAATCTACATACCATGACGCTACAGATCCTTTAAATCTACAAAATAAATAGCAGTACAATCGGGGTAAAAACAAATATCTGTCTATCTGAGCAGAGTTTCTCGCCGGCTGATTTGAAGAGTAATGGATGTCGTTTGGTGTACAATGAGGCCGGTGTGAGAAGTCACACCATGCTCACTTTAACGCCTATTTTAGTACACTGATATAATAAAACCTCACATGGACTGAGCTGCAACCTGCACACCATGGAGGGACTGATTACTTTCAATTACAAGACATGTGCTAATTACGGCTAGCGCTGACACACGGCTGCAAATGTTGGCTGTAGTCCATAATATTAGGCTGCAACACAAAGTCTTGTGGGTTTAATAAGGGGATCCAATTATAATGTGTCTGAGAAGACCAATGGTAAACAACTGTGGAATGTGAGGACGGAGCATGAAACATCTTTGATGAAACAATTCAGAGCAGTGTGTGACAATTAAATGCTCATTAAAGCCCAACAAGGAGAGTCTCTGTTTCACATCTTCGGTTCTGCTCTGTTGACGCTGCAGCAATTGTTTATTTTTGTATTTTTTTTAACCCAGCAGTTCCAGCCAGCAGGGGGCGCTCTCAGACATATTCCTTGTTGCTGCTCGGAGGGCTGGAGCGAGAGCCGGGCATATTTGGGTACCTGGATACCTGCTTCTTCCTGGGACAGGAGGCGGCCAGCATGGCGCCGCCCAGAACATCGAGGAGGGCGCCGCCCCAAGCGATGAAGATGGCCGCTCCGAATTCAAACCTGGGAAGACAAAGATTACATTAAAACTAGAATAATCGGTTTTTAGCTTCTCTGTTGTATTTTTATTTTATAATAGAGAAATTCACATATTTGTTAAATGTTCTATCTTGTCCTCAATGTCTTTTAACCTTTATCTGCTTACACTCACATGCTGCAGCTTACATGACCATGTTTATGTGTCTCCCGGCAGGCACACATAAAGAGACTGAAACTGATTAGACAAGCCTTGGAGGTTACAGATAGCAGAAAACAACAAAAAGCTAAATGCTGCAGTCTTCAAATCTCTCGGTTTCAGTCATAATGTGAGCTCAGGGTGGAGCAGCTCTGGACGGTGAATGAAACTCCATTTTTTCCATTTGTATGACAGATATGGATTGTAACATTGGATCATCTTTCAGCATTAAAGCCTGCTTTTAAATATAACCAAATCTCATTATTTGTCAAGGTAATTTACACTGAGAGGTTCTGGTCGGGTCCTGAAACTGGTTAACGGACCTGACGGAGCACAGAGACAAAAATGAATGAACGGCAACATTTTCTATATTTACATTTGGATCACAACTGCTTAAAGAAAAACACCCCGCCATTTTCTGGCAACGATTTAATGTTTTATGGCGTCTGGAAAACGAGCCATCTCAAAAACCTTCCAACTGTAAAGTCATATAGTGGCGTTACCTAGCAACCCAAGCTGAGTTCAAGCACGTTTGCTCTGCTAATGTTTTTTGAAGACGTACGGTTGTATAATTACGCAGCCATTTTCATATGCTAGTGGCCAACAGCAGTTAATTTGGATTTAACGTGGCAAGACGCACTAAAACAGAACTGAGCAAATCAAGCTAACAACTCCAAATGAAGCTAACACATCAACGTAAAGATAACAATCATTATGTTATCTTAGATAACACTGAAGCTAACACAAATAGCCCCATGAGCATATTTTCCAATGTGCAAAGGTTTGAAATACCTTTTTATTATCGCTTAAGTTAACTGGTCATGATACTTTTGAGCTTAAAGAAAGTATAGCTCTGGTGCGCAGAGTTTAGCTACATGCATGTAGTTTAGCAGAGAAAATGCTGACAATGAAAACTATTTAGTTTTTTGAAACACCAGAACATAAATCAAATTGAGTTTCCATTTGTCTTCATTCTTGATAACTCAAATCAAGTTATTCTACAAAACCCACAAAACTAGGACTTTGCCAAAAAATAACAGCTAGTGAGTGACATGTGAAATGTTGCAATAACTAATTAAAGCAAGAAACAAAGGATTGATTTTACAATCATACAGAATACAGTGAAACATTTAGCTCTTCTCACTTGGTGTTGACCGGAGTGTAGGGGTTGTAGAAAGCTCTGATGACGTTGTGAGCAAACCAAGAACACGCCACAATGGCACACAGGCCTGCAGAGAGAGAGTCAACAGGACAGATGGACCATTTCAATAACACATCGAAATTCAACAGGATAGGAACCTTTTTTATCCCTCCGACTCCAGCACAATGGGCTGTCAGTGAAGTCTTCAAAGCTCTTTGGACATCAGAACCAGCAGCACGGAGCCCATTCAGTCCAGTGGCCGCCAGAGGGCAATGAGTGGGAAGAAAGAGCTTTGGATTTGGGATTAAACGTTTCCCGAGATTCACTTATGGGCAGCATCTTTGATTCTCACCAGTCTGGTTTAGACAGCTTCAATTTGCAGAGGAAGTTTGAAGCATTTAGGGAGGTGTGAACGTGCAATAAAACTCTGGTGCAGACCAAACAACTGAACTTTGGTTCGTCTACAAACCTTCGGTACGGTTTGAATGTATATGTGAATGCCAAGTGGACCAGAAAGCAGAAGCAGGAAGTGAACAACAGTGCAGGGCTTTCTGATTCTTTATTTATTTATGAAAATCAACAAAATGTTGGGAATGCACCTTTATATCTTAAATTAGTCCAATTCTTTCGCTGAAACTAACATCAACAGTTGGAGCGTTTTCATCCTCACCTCCTATCAGCAGAATAATTCCTCCTATCATGGCAATGCGAGACTTGCGTAGTTTGTCACTTCCTCCACAGGTGGTGCACTTCATTCCCATGCAGGCCACGCCCAGACCCGCCACGGACACGATGATGCCCACTATCATGAGGGCGCGGGTCGCCTGCAGTGAACCTGGGGAAGGAAACCAGCGAAAGATTTCACTGCATTTACAGGTAAAACAGGAAAAGGAAGAAGTAAATTTACAGGGAAAAAAACCTAGAAAATATTTTGATTAATCTCAGAAATTTTTGGACATTTCTGAGTTTCAAAAGTGGAAAATCTTTGACATTTTCTATAAATTATCTCAGATTTATGAAAAAACTTCTGAGCTTTTTTCTGGCAAATTTTAGACTTTCAAGCTCAGAAATCTTCAAGTTTTTGCCACAAAATTTCCTAGAAAAACTAACATTTTGAGATTAATCTCAGAAGATTTTGAGACATTTTTTTTTTAATTTCAGTGTTTCAAAATTTGAACATTTGGACTTTTGAAACTCAAAACTCAGAACATTTTCCTTCTTTTTCTCCCAAATTTTTTTTCTAGAAACTTTTTGAAATGTAAAAGTCCAAAATTAGATATTAAAGACTCTGAATATTTAATATTACATTGAGTTTCAAAAGTCAAACAATTTTCAACTGAGCAATTTCAAAGTTTTTCTAGAGAATTTCTAAAATTGAGAAGTCAAAAATGTTCTATGTGAATTTGGAATTTTCCAAAAATCAGAAATTTAAAAAATCTAAAAATATTTGACTTTTGAAATTCAGACATTTCTACATTTTTTTCTAAAAATCATTGGACACACTCTGTCAATAAACTCAATATTTGAATGTTTTGACAGAAATGTACTCAGTATTTTTATTGTTTTTCTTTCTACAGCAGCCAGAATGCACCATTATAAATATGCAATCCAGTTCAGGAAGGCTAGAAAATACCAGAAAAACACAAAAATGGAAGAAGAAACAGGAAAAATAGGGGCTGAGGCTTTATCTGAGTGACCAGAGGTTGTAAATTAGGGAAGCCATGGGAGACTCATGAACACGCTAACAGTGAGAAACAACACATTTCTCTTCACTTGAACTGAATCCAAACGGTAAAACCTTTCGTCAGCCTGTAAACCTTTCACAGGATGAGGCCCCTCTTTGTCCAAATCCTGCCTCTGTCCACCTAGAACCAGTCTGTGCCAGCCGAGGCCATCCCTGCCCGCCCCAATCAGACCAAAACCGCCCAGCAGGGAGCGAGGGAGACTCCATGTAGCATGGAAATCAGAGGGAAATGGAAACAATAGGCAGGATTATGCTTCTTACTTCTGATATAATCACATTCTTGTTTCTAAATTGACCTTCAAAGTCGAGGAGAAATCCACCGAGAAACTTTCACTTGTCTGGAGTGCAAAAGTTAGGAACAACTGTAGATTATTAGATAAAACTTGAATGTTTAACTACTTTGCAAAGGTCAGAGCTTTTCCCCTGACTGGAATATTAAAAAATAATTCAGAAATCACAAAGTTTCCCGGGTCAAAGGTGAAAACTTCTCCCATAAATGCTTAAATTTGAACACAAACCATTGATCAAACTTTTTATATTTGTTTATTGAGACAGACAATAGAATAATTATTGATTGTAATGATTTCAGCACAGATAAATTAAAAGATTTTAATGTAAGATTTAAAGAGACGCCATTTTGTGTTTTATAGTGCTATTCTGTAGCACAATCAGGTAGATGCTACTTTGAGTTAAGGTTGGACGATAAACCAGTAACAATATATATCGCGATAAACACTTGATCAATATAAATAGTTGATAGATTTCTCAGCAGCTTCACTGAACTCTGATCCTGAACCGTGAAGCTAAGCTACGCTGGAGGTATCAACTAGCCGACTCTCCTTGGTTACCTAGCTACAACCTGCTGAGTAAGCGCCACAGCAGCAGTTTCAGGTTTTCACCTCAAAACTGTTTAAAAATAATAATAACAAAAAAACAACGCTGTGGAGTGAAAACCGTGGATGAAACAGATCACACCTCCAGTCTGGCAGGATTTCAGATTAATCAATATTGATCAATATCGACCCATATAAAATAATATTGTGATTTGTCACCATGTTCTGACAGTTTATTAGGAAACAACTAATCTGTGAAAAGATCAACAGTTTATAAAACCATCATGCTAACTAGACTTAGCATTCACAACAGGCTAAGCTAGCTGTAGCGCACCAGACACCAGATTGTGATTGGTAGCTCTAAGACCCGCCTCCTGGCTCTGATTGGCTACTTCTAGTTAGCACTAGGAGAAGAAATTTTTTCCACAGATTACCTGCATCTTGTCAGTCACAAAATGCTGACAGTTTCAAGAAATATGTAAAATGTAAAAGTACTGCAGCTTTAAGGGTTGTGAAAATATCAGTGTTTCTCTCTGAAGACGGATGATACGAGCAACATTTGGCTCGTGACAACAGCTTGTTGACAAAAGGGTGAAAGTCAGAAGTTTGTGTTGAATGTAACACAAGCAGACTTCCTGTCATCGTCAGTCCTGAGCGTCACACGGACCCAACGCTGAGGGGTCAGAGGTACGAGACGTAGAGAAAGAGAAAACAACACATTGTTCACTGCAAAAACACAAAATCAGTCCAAACATCTTATACTGGTGAAATAAGACAAAACTAACTTACAAGCAACTTTTCAGGAGCTTGTTTTAAGTAAATAATCCCTAAATATTGATTTTAAAAAGCATTTGTTCCATTGGCAGATTATTTTACTCATAAAAATACATTTTTCCATGTTATAAGTGAAATAATGTGCCAATGTTGAATCTTTCATCAACATTAAGGAATCAAAGAAATTACTCAACTAAAAAAAGAATTTGGTTTAAAGTCTAATCAAGTAATGAGTAACTGATCAATTATCAATCATTTAATATGTAAGTATTACATCAACAGGCGGATAAAAATCTAAAGTTAAGTGGAAATGTTGGTATTTTAACAATAATTCACTTAAGTAACACAAAATAAAAATCATGCAAAATAATTTTATTTTCCAAATCAGTTTCTTTCAATAAAAAACTTATGAAACTTTAACAAAAGCTGCAGGTTTTTATTTCTGGTGGATTTTGGTTAAAAAATGTTTGTTTTTAACTCAGTGGGCAGAAAATCCTGAAATTTGACTCAAGCAAGAATAGAAATACTTCATAATAAAATTATTCAAGTAAAAGTAAAAAGTAAAAATGCTCCTAAACACCCATTTTTAAAAAAGTTACTCTGTTTATTTATATGATTTCTTCTGATTTTGGTCTTCTGTTTTAAATAGTTCAGTATTAAATGAGTACCTGAGTGGCAGTTTTACCAAAGCCTTTCTCCTCTTCTGGAGTAATTTCTCTCTTTTACGTGAATAAAGTCACGTTAAAGTTAAAGCAACTGTCTTACTGTCGAGCTGCAGGATGGAGTCGTATATCTTGCACTGCAGCTGCCCGGTGCTCTGGAAGGCGCAGGACATCCACAGCCCCTGGTACATGGCCACGGCCGTGATGATGTTGTCCCCGATGTAGGCGGACATCTTCCACTGAGGCAGGACGGTCCCCACGATCAGCCCCACGATGCCCAGCAGAGACAGGAAGAAGCCCAGCAGCTGGAGCCCGGAGTTCGCCATGATTCAGACTGAGAGGTTCAGAGACGGGATCAAACCTGCATGCAGAGCAGATGGAGGGTGGGAACCACGGAGGGACAGAAGTGGGAGTGATGCTTCCCACTTCTGTCCTGGTTGTCAAACCGCAGGAGAGAAGGAGGAAAATAATCATGAAAGGTTTACAGTTTGGCTCAACTTGGATCAGATTTAAACAGAAGAAAAAAAACATTTAAAGGAGATGGAAATTTCTACCAACAAATATGAGACATTTTCTAGAAGAAGAAGCAAATAAAGTAAAAAGAAATTACTTTTTAACTCAGAAATATGGAGAATGACATCTAAATTTTTCTAAATAAATAAATAAAAAATTTTGAGATTGATCTAAACGTTTTCTAGAGAAAAAAGTTGAAAAACTGCTAAAGAACATTGGACAATGAACATTTGAGATTAATCTCAGAATTGTTTTTGAAACAACATACACATTTTTCCAAAGATAAAATTTTTGACTTTTGAAATTCAGCAAATGTCCAAAAGTCAAAAATATTTGACTTTTGAAGTTCAGAAACTTTTTTTTTATGGACAAGTTTTGAGATAAATCCCAAAATATCATTTTAAAAATTGTTTTTAGCATGTTTTCAAACTATAAAATTTCCAAGTTTTTCCTAGAAAATTATTTATATTAATCTAAAAATGTCATTTTTTTTCTCCAGCAAAATTGTGATGTCTCATTTCTAGATTAATCTGAACATTTTTGAGTTTTTTTATCTTCTCAACCTCAGAAATTTCTATGATTTCTTTCTGGAAAATTTCTGAGATTAACTTAAAAATTTGCAAGAAAAGACTCCAAAATATTGAGATTAATCTTGGAATTTTTTTTGAAAATCTTGAGCTTAAAAAGTCAAAAACCTAAAGCAAGATAAGTTTAATGTGATTTAAATTCAGACAAGGTGGATAAAAATATCTGCTTTCAACTGTAATTCTTTTTTTTTTTTTACTTTTTTGGCCCTAATTGTCACAATGACTCATTTACCTAAGAATCACCTTTTTCAGGTTAAATGCAACCTAAAAAAGGTGATTCTTGGGTTATAATGATATTCTGATGAATCTCAAAGCTCGGTTCCTCTCTGTCTTGTTCTGATCCTTCAGTTTCTCGTGTTCTTGTGTTTCCAGCCTCTCCTGTCTCTATAACTCTCCTCCTGTCAGCTGCTGGGGCAACAAATACCCCATTGTCACAGCGAGGAATTCATCTGCTTCTCACTGAAACAAACGATAAAGACTAAGGTTTCTACATTGTATGTTTGGATTAGAGAAAATAAGGAAAATTTGTTGATAAAAAAATGTAGAGGTCAGGAACATAAAGGACAGATGAGGAATCCCAGTCCTTCCAGTGCTGTTACTACTGGAAACCTGATTTATATGACATCCTAATCCAAAGAAAAACTCCCCACACCACCCATTCCCAGTCATCTCTACCCTTTTCCCACTTCTTTAAAGCGTAAACACACATTCATCTTGGTGGTTTCGCCGTTGCACAATGCTCTGAAGGAGCCAAAGAAGAACAAAATGTCTAAATCAGCCTTCACTGCATTCCTGCAGGGGCTCTGGCTCCTCTCTCTGAGGCCTCTGGAGGGACTGAGCTGAGCAGTACAAAGTCAGCGGCTGAAGTCCTTTAAGTGGAAGTCACTGAGGCATCGGCGATAAAACACTTTTCTCCTGAAAAGGCTCTGTGGGGGTGCGAATGAGGGCGGCGGCGCCGGTCCTCTTCTTGGTCTTGTGGCTTCATTGTTCTGGCCAGCAGTCGCTTCATTGGGCGTCAGGATGGAGCGTAAGAAAAACAAGATTTAAAACATAAAACGCCAGCAGAAATAAAATCTAACTAACCCCTAAATATATATCTATATATATAAAAATATATAGATATATATATATATATGTTTGTGTGAATTTTGCTGAGCTGTTTTTAAAAAAAAACATTAATAAAAGAAAGTCACTATAGACGTCAATGAATATAGTGACAAAGTGCCTCTATCTTCCTGACCATCTCATCCCCACTCATAGCCAACGCCACAAATGTATTTGCAAATAAATAGATAATTTTATGTATTTTTACAGGGTGGCCAGTTTCTGACTGATATTTTGGGAGTCACAGGCTGAAATGTTTGGGAATCCCTGATATATGGCATAATGTTTGTAAAATTTGCGATTTTAACCGAATTCATGGTTGTATCTCATGAAGATCATTTTCATTTCCATGACAAACTTGAACAAATAAAGTGGAAAAAAGAAATGAGTGATGAAGTTTTATTTACACGACCAAACTTTGATGTGCCACTAATAACCTTAATAATCCACTTTCAGTTAATATCGTAAAAATTTAAATGCAGATTTATCCAACGAGGAAGAGGAAGAATACTGACTGAAAGAATTAGTTAGCAGTTTAACCGATGTGTCTGTAATTTAAGATAGAAGGAAAACACCACATATGACAAAAAAACTAGAGGCTTTTTGACCAAACGGATATATTTATGCTCCCCTTCTGACCAGCATTGTTACTCTGATGTGCTCAGGTTTGTTCAAATGCATGTTTACCCTGTAACAATGTAGTTGTCACAATGTTATTTTGTCCTTTTCATTAATAAAGCTGCATAAATTTGTCCTAAAAAGCTACTTTAAGCTAATGCTACACATGCTGTGGAGGGAAGGGAAGTTAAAATTCGGATTATGCTGCAGATCCTGCCGAACCCTGTCACTTTCCTTTTGCTCAGACACAGAGGAAGAAAAAGCAGCAACTAAAGCTAATTATTGTAGCAACATCGGGCTGATTTAACATGATCTGTGAATGTCAGTGGATGTTTTGTACTAACAGTAAAATGGTTTCTATTTTAAAACATGTTTGAGAGCCAGTAATAAGAAATGTTCTCATGTTTGAGATTTTAACTTCTTCAGAGTTTCTTCCAGACTGTAATCTGGCATCTTAAACAAAACCAAAGGAACAGGAAAGTAACTCCCTTCAAGAACTTTATCAAATAAAACTGCAGTTTTCAGTTGGATCTGACTCAAAATCCAATAAAAACACTAAAGCACTATTACTATTATTATAGTAAAATCCCTGCTTCAGAATGTGGCTTTGTTAAACAACAGAAGTGCAGCAATAAAACATGAAAGCACTACAGAGGTTCCCTGGGCTGCTGCAGCCTTGATTCAAATATATACACTGCCCTCTATTGGATACAAATATAAACTACACCAGTGAGTTTTAAGTGTAAAATGCACAAAATTCAAGTTTTTGGCGCCATAAAACTGGACTGAATACATAAATTATAGAAAAATAACACAATTGATTCGACATTTTGCATCTGTTTACTTTTCAGAGAAAGGCAACGTCCCAAACAAGCTGACCAGAACCAAACAGAACAGTTTGGTCCAGGAAAGTCCGACTTGGGGAGCGTCTTTAGTGCATATCAGCGATGCTGTCCTTCATGGGAACGGGTCGTCCGGTGTGTAATTAAAACTAGCATCCAGGAACACGGCCAGGGTTCCCAGGGTGGTGATGATGACAAACAGCCAGAGGAAGAGGCGGTCCACCACCAGGGCGATGAACTGCCAGTCTCCCGTCATCTGGAACACAAACGGTACTTCCTGTTAGCGCTGACTCGGCTCCATTCAGCGCCACAAATCAGAGCTGGTTTGGGCCTGATGGTGGATGAAGTGCTCAGCTCTAGTGCTTCAGTAAAAGCATTGATACTCATGGTTAAAGTTTGTTCAAATATAAGTAAAGGTTCAAGCACATATAAGTAGTTACATATGAAAATACTCAAAGTACAAATTGTGTTTTCTAATATCAATACATTTCTGCATATTTTTTCTAAGTGATTTTAGAGAACCCTGGAACTTGCTGACATCTACCACCAGTAAAAATCTCTACGGCAGCATATTAGGGTCATTGTAGGTAGAAAAAAAAAACTTTTCTACCAAAAAGAAACTTTTTTAACTCATGGAATGTCCAATTTGTGAGAAAACACTGAAATGTTTAGATTAATCTTTCAAATCTTCTAGAAAAACACTTTGAAATGTAGTTCACAAGATTTTTTTTAAACTTTTCTGAGATTAATCTAAAAATTTGAATGTTTTCTTACAAATTGGACATTTTTTAGTTCAAAAAGTCAAAAACAGATTTTTGAATTTTTTAAATTTCAAATTTGAAACTCAAAATTTCCAAAGATTTTCAAAAAAAAATTCTGAAAGTGAGAAATTTCCATTTTTTCCTCACAAATTTTGACTTTTAAATAAAAAATTTAATTTTTTTCTTCCAGAAAAGTTCAAAGATTAATCTAAAAATAAAATACATTTTTTCTTTCTTTTTTTTCTGTCTCTGGCGGCCCTCATACACTGTTTCTACAAACTTAAGCATAAAAATTTAATTAAAAAGTGACAAATATTTTCTTTTTCTATTATTATCATAATTTAAAACATACCACAAACAGCTTTTCCCCACAAACAGCAACACTGGTAGTGAAATCGTGCCATAATTAACTAGAAGCCCACTAACATCAGACATTGAGCTACCAGCAAACTACAAAGCCATTCTGAGTCAAAGGAGCAAGCTTCCTCAAAATGTTAAAAGTTCCCCAAAAAATAAATAATCAAACAGATACTCCAAAAATGTACTTTATTATAGTACTGAAGTAAATCTACTTCTTTACAATCCGCCACTCGTACGGCCCAAACACTCACCGAATCGTCCGTGTCCTGCTTCTTCAGCTGCTTGGCGATGTAGGTCACGGCATCGATGGCCGACTTTAGGTTGGGAGGAAGGATGAGGCAGAACCGGTCCGAGTCCGGGAGCCGCTGGAGCTGTACTTCAGGTGTGCTGTCACACCTGAAATGAATTCACAAAGGGAAAGAGTGAGGAATGGATTTCTAGCAAAATGTGACTATCTTAGCTACCTTAGCTTGCTACCCCATTAGCATATTAATTCAATTAATTTTTGGTGCTGTATCACCTGAATGAATAATGGTGGAAATTTTGGCCTCCAAACACGAGTGACAGAATCAAAACTAAGGTAAAACTTGACAGTTAGCGGTAACATACCGTGTTACCGCTAACTAACACAAAAAACTAATTGTGCTATCAATTGAATGAACGTTAGGATTTTGATAATAAAAACATCTGACCATACATACAGATTTGAACATCCATACAGCACTTAGCATGTAAGATTAGCATACCAGCTTAGCATACGAGCTAATTGTATAATACATTAAAATTCTGTCACAGTTAGCAGATTTAATGTGACAACTTTCTGAGTTGTTTCAGTTAAATAAACTTTTAAGTCAAAATTCAGACCACACAATCAAAACGAATAAATCCAAAGAAATTCTAGCATAAAAATTTTGCATATTGTCTTAAAAATCTACCAGAGGATACACATTTGAACATAGCATGTTTAGCTAGGTTAGCATGTTGTTATGAATAGATCACTGGTAAGCTGATGTTAACTGTGACAATATTTATTATTTTCACTATCAAATGTTAGCATGCTAAGCTAAGACTTGTCAGAAAGGTTAACATTAAGTCAGACTTGTTTGTAAAGCACAGTCCAGCTGGTTGGTACTTTAACAAAACAATAAAAAAAACGTTACGCAGCAGTGGCCATTCAGTGATTTTTACGCTAGCAAAAGTATTTTGATCTCAAATCTCTGACAATTTCCAACATTTTTTGACTTGTTTGTGTAATAACTGTCAGTGTCTGCAGTGTGTGGTTAAAACTGTGACCCAACAGCGTTTACAGGCTCCATAAGCTGTGATTTATGTCATGACACAGTAGCATAGCACTGCTGCATACCATCAGTGACTTTATCTGTCCTGCATGAGGCAACCATGTCAGACTCAGTGTTGCCCCCATGCAGGTGGTGCCTTTGAGGCAACATTTATGTGATGCATTGACCTTTGGAGGATTCTTCCAGTCACGTCTGTTCCTTCAAAAACAAAGTGTAGGCAAAAAAGTGCAGGTTCGATTTTTATACATAAAGAATTATTCAAACAGCAGAATCCTTCTGGTGTATCAAGAAACATGCAAGATTCTTTTCATGTAAATATGCAGCATTAATCATGGACTTTGACTTTTTTAAATGCATTTTATCCGTCCCCAAACCAGGTTTTACTGTATATAATGGTCCTGCGAATTCAGTGCACATCCAATAAACATTAGCCGTGTTTCCATCAACCTTTTTAGAGGCCTGATGTTCGATGGAGTAGGAACATTGATATATCTGCATTTTACTTCTGCTGTTTAGCTTGCAAGGCAATCAGATCAATAGTATTTTTGGTTAATTTTCCCTGTTTTAATGTGTTAATTTGGTAGAAACAGTGGAAAAAAGCACTCCTTACTCATCTGGGTAGCCCCACGATGGACGTCTAAGATCCAGGAGGTTTAAATTAAATTGTCCCAGAAGTTATTCCAATGAACGATAATGTTGTTGTTTTCAAACTATTTTCAAATAAAGATAATTGCAATAATGACGCAAGAACACAAATTTAAATTCAACATTGGAATGTCAAAATAAATGAATAAAACAAAAACAAGCGACAAATAAAATCAATTATGAAGTCTGTAAATATAACTGTCCTTGAAAAGGGCTAGTTGAGAACAAAACACCAGACAGAAACCCTTTTTCAACAAGTTTCATAGAAAAATGACAAATCATGCAAATGGAAAATATTGAATTTGTTTTAATTTATCATGTGCTTAATTAATGTATTGCGTATTGCGACACACACACACACACACACACACACACACACACACACACACACACACACACACACACACACACACACACACACACACACACACACACACACACACACACACACACACACACACACACACACTTATTGCATTTATTCTAACAAGAGAGAAAAATGAAGCTTGTGCTTCACATCAGTCCAGCAGCTTCACATAAATAAAAACACAAAATGACCTGAAACAAACTCCACAGCAAGTTATTCAATTAAATTAATTAATTATAACAGTGAAAAGACGTGGCACAATCACACATGAAACCCTGTTAATAATTAAATATAATACTTAAGAAAAACAGGAATTCAAACTACAGTTGCTGGGGCAATTGCCCAGGGCGGAGAAACAGAAACGAGCAACAAAAGTCAGGAGAGAATTACATCTTTGACTCTACAAAATGAATTTAAAGAATAAATAAACCAGTTCTGACAAACTTCACAGTTATAATCTTGTTGAAACAAAAAGCGTTCTGCTGCAGGCTCGCCTGTCATTTCTAAACATCGAGTGTTTTATCCTTTTTAGCTTCGTCTCAAACCCAGATAATCACAATGTTCAGCTCTCCAGCAATCTGCGGCATTGACTGTGGCCGGTATGCGGCACGCGCAGCACTATTAGCTGTTCCTTTTCACTAATCTACAAACACACACATCACCCTTCAATCAGCTGCTTCATTCATGTCGCACTGTCTCTGTGCGTCTGGCTCGTCTGACCCCTGACCCCTGCTGGTGCCACGCTTTACCACCACCATGCGCGCCGTGTAACCGTACACTACATGCAGAGACTGTATCATGAATGGCCTCACTGTGACAGGTGTGCGCACACTTATACAACCGGAATCCTTTCAAAGAAATAAAAGTGTTTCAGGAATCGAATGTTGAACCAGGAAAGCTAATTATGTATCCAGGACAGTAATTTTATAATAACAAATTTGCTGGACATTTTGAGATCATTTCATTGAACTGCTGTCAATGTATTGACAATAGTTCAATTTACTAATCTCAAAGATTAGTAAATTTAAATTTTGTACAGAACATTCCACATTGACACTGGAAGTCATTTTAAATGTCCCAAAAAAAAAAAAAACAACAACTCCAAAACAATTGTATTTATTTATTTCAATTAGACCTATCATAAGAAGCAATAAATCAAATAACTGGATGATAAATTAAAACAAACTCAAAAAATGTCGATTTTCATGATTTACAATTTTTCTCTTTCTATGAAAACACCAGAGTTCAGTTTGGTGTTTTGGTCTCAACCGGTTCTATTTTGAAGGATAATTAAGTCTACAGAAACTTCGTGATTCATATTGTTTGTCCTTTATCTATTTGGATATTCCAATGTTAAATGTTCATCAGAATTTAAAGTTGTGTTCCTGCATTATTATGCCATTACTTGAAACAAGTCTCAAAACAACAATATTATCGTTTATCGCAATAACTTCTGGGACAATTTATTGTGGGATAAACACATTTTTCCACCGTTTCTACCAAATGAAAACACACAAAAAGGTCAAATCAACCAAAATGCCTTCAGTCTGATTGCCTTGCAAGCTAAACAGCAGAAGCAAAATGCAGTTATGTCGATGAAAGCTCATTGTTTCTCCTCCATTGATCATCCGGCCTCCTGTGGCCCGATCACTCAACAATGGCGGCCATCTCTCCCTTTCTGTTCTTTCGCCACCCTCCACCTCCTTTCAGTGGGATTACCCCCTAATGCCCAACCTAAATAGAGGCTTAGTGGCTGGCGACTGTCAATGGGAGTGCGGGGCTTAGCTGAGGCTGAATCTGATGCCTCTGGAACGGGGCGGGAGATGCCGAGGAGCCGGGCCGGGTTCATGAGAGCGCCAAAATGCTTCTGATGCCAGAGTCAAGTGGCAAGTCTCAGGATTTGTTTTTTTCAACATTAGCCACAGTGAAGTCACCTGTGACTTTTTATCTTTGAAATAAACATGTACAAATGAATTTTTATTTTATTACATTTTAAACAAATGTCAAAAAGTAGGCTGAATTACAAATTCTGAAATTTTAAAGGTTAGGATAGTCTGTAAATTATATAAACATGTTTCTTACATTTTTTGCACAAAATCATTTGTAGATAATGAGATTTCAGTCTGGATATTTCAGACTATTTTCTGTTTGTTGCTTTAAATCCTAATAAGCTGCTTCTTTCTCCCAAACCAATGTTTACACTCACACATGAAAATGGCTACTGAAAGATGCGCAATTATACAATCACACATCTTTGAAAAACAGAAGTGGAGCCTCCTGCACACCCAACAAGAATGCAGCAAGTGGTTTCTGGATGGTAAATCCTCAACAAAATACTTGCCTTTTCCAGCAGTCATTGTACAGCGCATACAGTGGGAAATAGCATAAATAAAATGGATTATGGAGATGAAGATGCAAAGAAGGATTTATCATAAAATCGGTAACGGAAAAATGCCTTTTGATTGTGACTGACAATAAGCAATAAATCGGTTGCATAATTAATTAAAACACACTTGATAATGTCCATTCTGATATTTTTTGAAGGGCAATTTTGTTGAGATTTTACAATCTATTTACTTTATGGTTTTGTTTACAAGTGGTAATCATTTCCATTTCATTTATTTTTGTTTGTGTTTTACTTTGGATAATTAACAAATCTTCAAGTTAGAATGTGAAATGTTCTGTACAAAATTAAAGTTTGTTTTTAACAGGGCGAGCTTGCATTATTGTTCCATTATCAATATATTACTTGAAAATGGTCTCAAAACAAGAAAAGTATCATTTATTGCAATAATTACCTTCTGGCAAAATGTATCATTGTAAAAGGCCTAACAGTGACTTCACAATCGGGAGGATTTTGAAACAGCTCACTTTCCAGACACCAAAAAACATCATTTACTGCAAAATAAGTTTTATTTTTATAAGCAGTAGAGACCTAAATGGAAGCATAAAAATGTCCAAATTGTGAATTTTACGTAAAAGGTCTCCTTTAACCTAAAAATGATCTTTTTCTTTGACGTTAGACCTTCCTAAGCATAACCCTACCTCCCTCTCCATGGTAAGACAAGATCAGGGTTGATCTTGCGAACAAAGTACTCTCCTCCAGGTTGGCGTCCACTGAAACCACGGAACCATGTGTCGTCCTTCTCAGAGTCCTTCTCCAGTAAAGGTTCTTCTGGGTTTGGTCTCATCATGCCAATGTATCTGGGCAGGATGTGAATGAACACCTGCAAATTTAGGTTTAAAGTAAAGTGAAGCTGTGAAATGGGATTTTTAAATTGATGCTTTACTCTTGTCGGAAAGTGGGCCATGATGGATTAGATCTGTAGCCTACAGTTGATAGCTTAGCATCACTTTTAATCAGTTCATTTCACTGTAAAATGTTGATAGTTGCTACATGACAGACAAGTATGCAAACTAAACTTGTTTTTTTTGTGAGTAACTTTTAATGAGGAAGCAAAATGACGGCAACGGCTGCAGGAAGGACCAGCAGACCTCAGTGTACTTGTGGACTTTTTACAAAGTACTAACCTTCATATGCTTTATAAGTAAGTACGATGCGATCAGATATTTGCATTACTGGACGTGTTTAATCTTTAGTAAACATGGAAACAACGCCGCACCACTATGTAGCGTAGCATGGATGAACAAAACTGTTTAGCGTCTAAACTTTTACGTCAAACAATGAAACTGTGTTTATGACAAGTCAATGGCCAAACATGTAGGAAGGGGTCAGGGCCGTCCCAAGACTTTTTGATTTTTTTGTCTTGACGTAGTTGCAAAGTGTCAATGGAAAGGCGATTCTTACCTTTCTAACCCAGTTCGGCATGATGTGGGTGCTGGGCGTTCGGTGGTGCAGGTTGAGTACAACGACACTCAGGATGACAGAGAAGGTGACCAGGATCATGGTGAACATGACATAGTTGACGATAATTGGGATGCCGAGTGAAGTTTCAGGGACTTTGTCGGCCAGCAGCAACATGAAGACGGTGAGAGTGATCAGGACGGAAATGGAGAGGGTCATCTTCTCTCCTGGAAACAGAAGAATAAAAAAACAAGATTTATGCACAAGCTGGAAATCTTTATTAGAGCCAGAATACATAGTTCCAAACAGTTTTCATATTTGCTTGAAAAGAGAGTAATTCTGATTTTAAAGTGGCCTTTATTTTCTTTGGCTAAAAGTCCAATGGTCTCTTCACAATCTGAGAGCCTCCAACTAGTCAAATATTCATCGGCGCAGACAGAGTGTCTGCACCAGGTAGCATGTGTCGTTTATGGAAAAGTAGATAAAATCATGTGGAGTAAATTCAGGGAAAGTTGGCAATTTCATTAAATTTAGGAGGTTTGAGTTGTTTTTTGAGCTAGCTGTTTACACTTTTGTAAACACAGCTGTGCATAAACCCCAAGTTACGACGGCACATAAAGAGGAGTAAAGTTTTTCATTTTTTACTCAGACATTTCAAAATTTGTCTATAACATTTCTGACAATCTCAAAATGTCTTGTTTTTTCTAGCCTAATTTAAACTTTTGAAACACTGAAATTTTCTTATTTTTTTCTAGAAAAAATTTTCTAAAAAGTGTCAGACTTTTTTCATGGAAATTTACTCCTTGTTTTACTATCTACAGTGGCTGTGGTACCAAATAAATGCGCTACTTCCACAGACAGACAAAGTAGCTCAGCTTGAACAAGTAGAAACTGTTTCGGCAAAAACTACTTTGGAAAACAATCTCAGCTGTTTTGTAAAAGGCCAACAACAGCTTATGATGATCCCACCTAAAGCATCAGGTTCTGTATTAATTTTATGCCAAACATGCTGACCTGCTCCGGGAGGCAGGTAGAAGACGAATATAGCCAGTACACTGGTGAGGATGCAGGGAACGATGATGTTGATGATGTAGAAGAGAGGCTTCCTCTCTATGATGAGGTAAAAGGTGATGTCCTCGTACAGATCATCTCCAACGTTCTTCCTGCTTGGTTTGTGACGTATGGCCCATTCTCCATTCTCTTTGGTGACGGAAAAGACAAGATGTCAAAGAAATGAATAAGTACCAGAATAAATGGGTTTAGATAAATGCCTGTTTGGAACAAACCTGTGAAAGCATTTTTATCAATTACGATCTCATGGATTTCTGTCCCGTTCTCATCAAGGTAGACCTGCAGGTCGACCTCTGAGGCGTCGTAGGTGTACGAGCGGAAAACCATGCTGCAGTTTTGCCAATCAAATGGGAAATATGCCACCTACAGATTATTTAACAGAAACAAACACAACAAACTTTTATTTACCATCAACGAGAAGCTACATTTTTGTCTCAAGCTACTTCTAGCCTGTTTACAAGCTTTCAAGTTTTTGACACCAAGTTCATGTAGCAAAAAGCAAGAACATTGGGATTTGATAGACACAAACTCTTCATTTATAGAATATAGATTAATGTTATACCTCAATGGAGCAGGAGCTACGGTAGATGGCAGGTGGCAACCAAGAGACCATACCATTACTGTAAACCAAGACGTTGACGTACAGAGCCACGTCGAACTGCCCATCGTGACTGTGAGGAAGAATAAAGATCTTTATAAACACTACATGCATAAAATCACTAATTTATTTATTGTACCAAACCTGCTGCCTCAGCCACGATGGGTTGTTGTGTTGGTGGAGACGCGTCACTCACTTGTTTATGAGGTAGATGTCAGGACGCCACACCTTGTTGGGAGGAATCCTCACGACGGCGATGTTGTCGTATTCCTCCGGTTTCCATGATAACCTGTAGTCTGTCCAGTTCTGGGATGGATGCAGGAAAAACAGCAGACAGGATGGAAATGGAGAAAAACAACAACAAAAGAGCAGATATTTACTGATGTTGGCCACTGTGATCAGAGATTAAACCCATTAGTTATGTATATATTGAAGTTTTACACTGTATTATTAAGTTTTACAAAGTACAAATCTGTATTATTCTAATGGTAGAAAGAAAACATGGGAATGAATTTCCACAAAAAAAAATTAAATATAGAACATATCTAAGCTAAATCTTAAAATTTCTAGAACTTTTTCGACTTTCAATTTCAGAAATGTCCTTAATCTCAACATTAATCTCAGAAAAAGATTAATGTTGATATTAATCTTTTTCTGAGATTAATCTCAACATGTCTGAATTTTTTGGCGGGAAATTCAATCCTTTGTTTCTTCTATCTAAATGACCCTACAACAATTAAAGGGATCCACAGTCAGTTGCAACAATTAACTGATATATAATCTCTTCATATGTGAAAACAATACAGCGAAAAATACCAAAGGTTGTTAAGTTTTCTATTAAATTTAAAGAAACTATTGCTGCATGTATGCTACATGCTAATGCTAGCTCCGTCCACTCTGAACAGTAATATTTGTGCTTTGTTCTGCGTTAAAAACATTTACAGATGCTTCAAAGGCACTTTAAAGATCCATTCATTACCCACTGATTTGTTTAGACTACCTGTTAGCTCCAGCTAACACCATTAGCTCCTGCTAACACTGTTAGCTCCTGCTAATTCTATTAGCTGTAGGTAATATGGTAAACAGTAGACCAAAAGTCAATCACATTTGTTTGGTTCAACAAATATTTTGTGTATTTATAAAAGGCAACCTCTGTAAGCGATAAATATATTAAAGATTTTGAGGAAATTATGGGTTTTTATGTATGATAAACAACAACTTTTAGGTTAATGCATAAATTAGAACATATTTAGGTCAGCATGTTCCTCTGGTGGTGGATCCCTTTAGGTTTGGGAGTCAGAAAGTGGGTTGGTGTTAGAGAAAAGTGTTTTTATGTCCGTACCAGATTCATGAACACGTTTGTTGTCATCTCACCGGTCTTTTCATTCTGAAGCAGGACAGAGAGGAAAACATTCATTTTCGTTAATGAATGCTGTTGACATCTAGATGTACTTTGTCATTATACATTGTTTTGGATAATCAGAAAAATACACTGTCTAGACATATTTCTGCACATTTATTTAGCAGGAAAAAGCTGTTCCTCTTTAACAACATTTTTACATGACACCATATGTATCTACATGATCGGTTTCCCTGCGTCCAACAGGCTGTGCGACTCCTCTGTGCCTGTATGACAGAACTTTGTGTTCTTTGGTAATATTTCCAAAGCTTATATCCTTCAGAGTGAGATTATTTATCATTCCTTTTCTTTTTAGAATACTGTCAGTAACCTTTACAGTACCGAGAGCCATTTTTTCCATCCATCTACCAAAATAAAATTTATCCAGCACCACAAAAGCTACATTGAAAAAATGTATTATTTTTGCAATATTTATAACAAGACATTTATTTAGCTTTTTAAATTAAAGAACACTTTCCACCTTATTTTTAGATTTTAGAATAATGAAAATGTTTTTGTATTCTCTCAAGTCTAACATCCTAAAACACAAAATTTTATTAGTTTATAGTACAAATATCTTTCCACACATACAATAAGACAAAGTTAACTTATTAAGCAAAATATAGAAGGTTGTTTAACGTTAATAATTCCTTACTATTGATGAAAAGTACAAGTTTCACAGGCAGATTGTTTCATTTACAACACAGTAAAATAAGCTGTCAGGAAAACTTATTTTAAAAAGCCTCTGTTTGCACTAAAATCTACACCAAAAGGTTTGTTTTTGTAGTGTAATTACCAACCCTAACTCAATAAGTGTTTCTAATGGAGTCCCGTCTCTCCTGTAATCACATCTTAATCTGTAATAAGTAAGGATTTCAACTGGTTTTGCTGGATATTTACCAAGCCGATGAGCTGGGACAGCGTCATCCCCACGCGCACCGTCACCCTCTCCTTCCAGTGGCGAGCCGGCCTGACCTTCACGTTGTAGTCCTGGAACAGCTTCTCGTGGAGTCTCCGCTCCGTCTCCGAGGCGCCTGGAGGACCAAATATTTACTGTGACGAATAGTGCAGGAAAGAAATGTGAAACAGCTTAAAGTGAGTGACAGGACGGTTGGACAAAGTGCTTGAACTCCCAGCCTCTGAAAGGCTGAGCGTTTGTTCTCTGGATCGATAAGTCACACCTGCTGCGGTTTGGTGTTGTGTTCAATTCCCACTAAGATTACAGGCTAAAAATATCATCTGACACTATCTACAGGATGCACGGCTGATCTGTTATTTAATGTGGAGGTCACTGACCTCAGGGCCACTCGGTGGCAAAGAGAGAGCGTCTCATAGTAAGTGGTGAGGAAACTTGCAAAAAAATAAAAATAAAAAGTGATGCTTCCTGGGAGACGATGACCCTAAAGTATTTTTGTCTAGTTTCTACACTTGAAATAAGACAAAACTAACTTACAAGTAACTTTCAGCAAGAAACAGAAGCTTGTTTTAAATCCAAAATTCTTGAATATTGACTTATTCATAAGTTACTTTTGAGTTATTTCAAAAGTACTAAGATATTTGGTCTAGAAATCAGGCAAAAATGCTCAGTAATAAGTTTTTTTTCTTGCAGTGAATATATATCGCGATAGACACGTGATACAGCTGAAATATTAATAATATTCAATATAAAGGATATTCACTGAACTCTGATCCAGAGGAAAGGCTTTAGCTGCTCAGCCAGCAACAACCTGTCTAATTGCTGCCACAGCAGCAATTAGACAATTATGGATATCGACTGACATGAAACACTTAAATCGTCGTGAGTTTTTCAGGCATGTCATCCAGCATATCATGAACCCTAAAAATATTATGGGATTGTAGGTATTTGGTGAAGATCCTTGGTAGAAAATAATGTTTAACTCGACATTCAAAGCCTTGTAACATTGACAAAACAATGATCTAAAAACAAAAACTGTCTTAACAACCACAAGGGTTCAATTACTGTATTTCAATAAAATAACAATAATAAAAATAACAAGTCTTAAATCCATAATGCAACATAATCTGCAGCTGAAAATCTTCAAAATTTCCTTCAGTCTATTTTTCACAAAGTTTTCAACTTAAGTTTTGTTAGAAAAGAAAAAAATAAATATATTTGCAAATACATTAAATAAATAAAATGAGAAATGTGTTTAAAAGCTGTTTAAAATTTTTATTTTACAAATGTGATTTTAATCTGATGATCAAGCCTGATCTGAACAGACAGCTGAATTAATTCATGTTTTTATTGCACAAATAGAAAAATCAATCTTCAAAAGTAGCTGCAACCAAATTTCAATTTGATTTACTATACAGTGAAATTCCTAACATTTAACTGTACTTAAATACTTATTTAAATATAATTTTAAAATGTTTATTTATTCGAGAAACAGAGTTTAAGTTTTTCACAAGGTGTCAGACCTAATCATCCAGAGCATCAGAAATATTCTTTAGTGTACAACGAATCTGTAAAAATTATATTTAAATTAATTTAAATTATTAATATGATAATTAAAATGACACACAATTTTAGTCAGTTATCAGAAACCTTCATAACAGCAAAACAACTTTTATGAACCAACAATCTTGTTGGTGGTTTTATAGGATTACAAAAACTGAACTGGCTTGACTGATAAATATAATAAATAACATGTAATTATCAGGAGAGACAGTGGGGGACAAACAGGACACACAAAAAGGTCAACGAGTGTCATACATTGAGCAGCAATCGACGCCGAGTTAATGTGACGGATACCCTACGAGGAAGACGGATTAAAGGGATTTCTGGGATACCGTCTCCATCGAGGACGGAAACATTTTCTGATTAATGACGTGTTGATTTCGCTCAATAGATGGTCCTGTCAAAGAAATAGACGACAGATTTTCTTTTTTTCATAAAAAATACAAACAAAACATATTGGTAAAGAGGAATTAAAAGTAAATATCTTATTTTTGATTTAAACTGTAGAGGTTTATTTGAGTCTTTATTTTGTATTTGATGTTGTCGGATTGCACCACAGGCCACCAACCAGAAAATGCAACACCTTGTTTTACTGCATGTTATTTGGGGTCAAATTCCAACAGGAATTGGGAGGGAATTACTTTTATTTTATTTAAATAGAATTATTTTATATCTAAATTTGTTTTAAAACATGGCAAGAATATAAAGAAGCTGATTTCTTCACTGTAATGTAAATACATTATAGTGTTATGTAATGCAGTTATGTAGGCTGAGCAAAAACAAGGTTTAATTACAATTGTTTATTTTTTTTATTAGTTTGTTTACATACTCAGCAGAGGAAATATACAAAAACATTTTTTTTTGCTATTTTGATTATGTATAAAAAATAAATAAAGACAATAAATGTACACCTTTTCCAGTCCATACTTTGTGTTCTTACCATTGACAGGAATTTAAACATTGTTCATCTACTTCTGTACTAGTTTTGCCTGGTATTTTACCTTTCCTTTGGTTTTTTGGGGTTTTTTTTTGTCTATGGAAAGGTTAAATCCTTCAATCAGACCTTATTATTCAGACACACATGGGCCATGAAAAAACTGAAAAATTAGAAAGGAAACAATAAAAACAGAAAGAAATAGAAATTGAAGCAGAAAGTGATCGAAATTAATAAATAATATTGGAAAGATTTTACAAATGAAAACTTTTGGCATTCACATAATAAAATACATGTTAAAAGTAGGTAGATTTTTTACCTGTGCAGGTGAAACAAAGAATGCAGCAAATTATGAGAAATGAGTCCATGTTGAAATCCAACCTCATCCAAGCCATGATGGCCACCATCACATCCTTGTTGAAGGCTGCAGTCGTTTGGACTCCTGGGTTCCGACCCCCTGAATCCAGACGTCCAGCGGGACACTCTGTCCATCCAGCGTGCGTCTCTCCCGCCCCTTTGGATCTTTGTGGCTCCACTGGTCAAACCACGGCCTGATTGGGCGCCCCATGCTGGGAGTCACGAAAGGGTGGAATGTGTTTGTACTGGGAGGCCTGCGGCGTGGACACCTGTTGGTGCTCACCAATCTGAGGTTAGGGGACGGGTGGGTGGAGGAAGAAGAGGACGAGAAAGAGTAGGGGATGGGATCATGACAGTGGAGATATTTTCAGGGCAGAATGAGTTGTGAAGGTTTTTTTTCTAGGAACAGGGGGAAGATTAATAATCTATTGAAGATGAAGATTATTGCAGGCATCTGTAGCTAATTGGACTTCCATCCCATCCTATAACTGAGAAGCTCTGAGCAAAATAAAGCTCTTGGCTATTTGTGGCCCTTACAACAATTTTGCATGTCCTTCATTGTCAATTGTATAAATTTGGCCCTCTTCTTTAGGCATTTGATACAGATTAATTCCAATTTTAGGGTGAGATTTTTACAGATATTTTAGATTTTCTCAAAGAAAATGTTACGACAGGCCTACATGTGATACAAAACATGTTCATTACATTTTTTCCACAAAATAATTTTCAGGTTTATTCTGGTCAGTTCTGAGCTCCAATCAGAATGAGCCCAACTCAGTGTTTACAATCACATTGAAAATGGCTACAAACAGATGTGCAACAACGGTACAGCTTTGAAAAGCAGACGTAGAGCCTCCTGCACAACCAACCAGGAATGGGTTTCTGGTGGCAACAAACCCCTTTTCCTTTCCAGCAGCCATTGTACAGCACACACAGTGGTAAAACTAGTTGACTGACCATGCTGAAGCTTCTCTTGACTTGCAAGGTGAGGGGGCGTGCCTGCTGTTTTTTAACATTCCAGAGGTTTTTGAAATGGTTCATTTGGGTCACATGATCAACAGCCGGATGTTGCTACCTGTTACTACTAGGAGGACTATTTCAGTTCATTCATTACTCCTCTGTAAAATCAAGGACTGCAATTTCTCCAAAATGCTGCAAACATGGCCATTACCAAGAGTTAGGGGCCTGAACAGGACGTCAACGTCTCCTCTGATGGCTGATAGATGATGAGCACTAACACCATGGATGAATTATGAACATATCTCATGTAACCGTTTACATCAGTTGCTGCCATGATTTTTAATGACTTATCTTGTGAACAAAGCTATTCAGATTTTAATTTTGTTTCTAATTTAATGGAAACACCTCAACTGCAAATTGTGTTTCTTCAACATTAGCAGAATATGAATATTTGTGCACATTTGTAATGGAAACGCAGCTAGAGAAGCCTACATAGACAGGCTTCACTGCCCGGTGATGTAGTGATGACAAATAGACTGGCTGAGCTTTGAGGAGCCATCTAGACTAGATGACTGAACCACTTCAGCTGAGTCTTTTTGACGCCTCTGCAACACGGTTACACTCATAGCTGTATCTGTTAGCTTTTATCAGACATGTTGTTCATAACTTATGATGCATGCAGAGGGCTTGGACATAGATGAACTGGTATATCAAAAATTCTGACTTTTAACTCACCTCTTTCTTCATCAGGTCCAGCCGAACTTGCTCTTTATGAAGATGATTTATATGATTTAGTGCTTTTTCTCCTGTCATTTACTATCCAGCTCTTCCTCTCTGTCCTCTCCTGTCTCCTGGGTCATGTTATGCCCTCTCTAAAAAAACCCTGGCCGTAAATCAGAGCCACAATGAGGGCTGAGAGAAGAGAAATGTCTCAGGTTTTCCCCGTGCATGCCAACCCACTGGTATAAATACATCGCTCACGGGGGCCCCTGTGTATTTTCATGCATCCGCTAAACAGCTAATTTGCAGTATTATGCAAGGCCAGAGTGTTAACCAAGAGTGTGAGGAAGGAGATGAGTGCAACTTGACCGGTACGGCAGTGGTAATGCTGTGTCAAGGTGTATAGTGTTGAAGGGTTATCAGCAGTGTCAACAGGAAGGTCTGATGAGGAAGAGTGTAAAGTTTCAGCTTTAAATGCTTCACACACTTCAAATCAAGAACATAGAAATGTCATTGAAGAAGGCATCGCACATCTGGATGTGGGAATAAATTGGAAACATATACGGTTATTTTTTAAAGCGTCTGCAAACTGAACGGCGACGTTCCTTTTCATCTGACTTTCTGCACCAACAGAAACCGGACTTCGTCAACCTGGATGTAAATAATGGCTGAAAATTCTAGTGATGAAAAGTCAAAAATGATTAAATTAGTCTGTTTCAGTGAAACGCATCACATCACAAACCCTCCACTCCTGGCTCTAACTACACATCCAGACTGACTTCCCTATGATGATCAGAGTCAGTAAATATTATAGACCAAAGGTCATTGCTACACCACTGCTTTGAATTAACATAATGATTTATATTTATATCTAAAAATCACTAGTAGGTGCTGATTTAATGACAATAAACCCTGAAAAATACCAAAAGTGGAACAAAAATAATATTTTTGAAGATGCTCTACAATAAAACTGCACCTTTTCAAATTGTACTTGTAATCTGTATGAACAATTTGTAATAGTGTAAATTCTACATTTTCTCTGTTAAACTCAGTTTTCTGCTTGGGGAATTGATACAATAACTAATAGATTTGAGGAACATATCAGGAGATATGGAGTAGTGTGTGGAGTAGCCACTGGCTAATATTAGACCTACTAATTGGTCTAATATTAGCTGAATGGGCAGGTGATGCGCAGTGTTGAAGCTTTGTGACAACAGATGGAGCCTTTGATATCTATCCTCCCCTCAGATCTTTATTGAAACGACAAAAACAAAACCGCAGTTGCAGCTATGCATGTACCATAAAGGACACGTGGCGTCCTCGTGTCCCCTGACAAAGTGAGACATGGAGGACGCTGATGTTCTGGACTCCAACACAAGATTAGCCTACACACCAGTGTCTAAAGCACAAATAGGATTACTTTGGCTGCAGAAATATCCCCCAAGCATGTGCCACGCTCTCTCAAAGGCAACTAGCCAGTTTATTACAGCAGCTGCTTTCTCATGGTGTTTATATGCTAACAGCATGTTGACATATCTGCAGCTAAAATGCTTTAAAAACACCAAGGTCACATCGTAGCATAATATTTATTATGGACTATGCTAAATTTAGACGGGTTGTTACAGTCCAAGCAATAAGCGTCACCAAAGGATTACCAAGTTTGGGCCGACAGTACTTATATTTTTCTGCTGACGCTTGTGGGAGAATGCTCTCCGTCGTTTTCCTGAAGGAACACCAAACCATTTCAGGCTAATTAGAAGGGATCTGTGGGCGTGTGATTGAAACTGGCGTCGGCAAAAATGGCTAGAGTGCCCACAGTGGTGAAGACGACGAAGATCCAGAGGAACATGCGGTCCACCACCATGGCCACGAACTGCCAGTCCTCTTTCAACTGTCGACAGAGAGGGATTTAGAAAAGGCAGAGAAGATGGAAACCAGAGAACATTAGGATTAGTCTGCAGGGATCTTGTGATGTAACCAGAGGACAGGAAAACTCACCGCTTCGTAGTCTTTCTCCGCCTGCAGAGCCTCAGCGATGTATGTGATGGCGTCGATGGCAGATTTGAGCTCGTCAGGCAGAGTGAGGTAGGAGCTCGGGCCGTCAATGAACTTCTTCAAATCGGTGCAGAGCCCCTCCGGCTGGAACCTGCAGAGCGAAGGACAGAACAGCGTTTTACCGACGCTAAAAACGAGTCAGAGATCCAGAGAACATCTGATGAATGTAGAGTTCATAACAGAAAGTTTGTTGCAGGGTTTGTTTACCCATAATGCTTCCTTGAACGGGTTAGGATAGGTCTATGGCCTATATACAACATTCTCATGACATTTTTCACACATAATTCTTAGATGATGAGATTTTAATCTGATCAAATCTTGTAACTTTAATCCCAACAATCCATGGGCCCCAAACTCATTTCCTTGTGCTGTTTGCAGCACATGAAAATGGCGGCAAACAGATGTGCAATTATACAATTGCACATCTTTGCTTTGAAAAGCAGAAGTGGAGACTCCTGCACAACCAGCAAGACTGAAGCAAGTGGTTTCTGGATGGTACGTTAACAACAAAATCTATGTTTTTCCAGCAGCCATTGTACAGCGCATATAATGGTAAACATGCTGGAGTTACACTTAAGTTGCTAGACTGGGCTTCACTGGCATTGCTAGTCAGTGGAATAAGGCCTGCTGATTTGTGATGTTACAATCCAGAGGTTTGAGAAATGGCTCATATTCCAGACAGGAGTGTTATTTTTGAACACTTCACACTGGAACATATTTTAAATATCCAAAATAAGACACAACAACCAAAGACAAGAAATAAAACCCACACACAACTGAAACTATAAATAAAATATATTATAAAGTCTTCTAAACAAAATTACCCTTCAAAAAATATTCATCAGAATGAAATTATCAAGCTCATTTTAAATAATTTTTTAATCTCTTACATTTGGAGCACATATATCCCAAAAAAGTAACACTTATATTTCCAACCTGCAGAGACACACATTAGGTTGAAGATCTAGTCCAGGTCCAAACACAAATTAAAATCTATAAAACTGTGCAGCAGGCGATACGTCTGGCTGCCTCTCTTCCTCCAGTCAGAGGAATAAAGGGAAGGTCAGGAGCTCCAGTACCGCTGTGGGAGCCGCTGCTTGGATCCTGCTGACCGCCCAGAATCTCTGTGTGAGAATGTGTGAATGTTTCAGTGTTTACTTGTTTCCCTCAGTTACCGACCGTCAGCCGGTGCCAGGAGCCGCTGGGGGAAGCCAGGAAAACGCTCCGAGGCCGCCTTGCACAGCTGCCACTGAGAAATGTTCACAGCCACGATAATTCAAACTTTCTTTCCCTCCCACTGACATTAAATTATAAGAAAAAAAGGAGACCAGGCTGAGAGCTGAAGCACAAAATACAACCACAGCTTCCAAACTCAACAAAAATGTTAGGGAATATTATAATAAACAGAAAACATGAACAGGTTTCATAAAATACTCACATTTTTATCAACAAAGTACACAGAAATACAACAGAAAACAAAACTACATTTCAAATAGTATTTTGTAATCCTGAACATGTGGTTAACAACTGCATATCTACAATTGTGAATAAAAGAAGAAACAGAATAAGTACAACGTTCGCCAAAAACTCAGAAGTATTAGATTAACTTCAAATATGTACAAGAAACAACTTGGAAATTTTCTGATGTTGAAAACTTGGAAATTTGCAACAAAAAAAAAAAAAAAAAAAAAAATTATATATAAATTCCCTTCTCACCCACCGCGGGTGGTTCTTATCCTCTGAGCTCGGGTCCTCTACCAGAGGCCTGGGAGCTTGAGGGTTCTGCGCAGTATCTTGGCTGTGCCAAGGACTGCACATTTCTGGACTGAGATGTCTGATGTTGTTCCTGGGATCTGTTGTAGCCACTGCTCCAGTTTGGGGGTTACTGCCCCGAGGGCCCCGATGACCACAGGCACCACTGTGGTCTTCACCTTCCAGGCCCTCTCCAGTTCCTCCCTGAGGCCCTGGTATTTCTCTAGTTTCTCGTGCTCCTTTTTCCTGATGTTGCAATCACTTGGTATTGCTACATCTACCACAACGGCTTTCCTCTGATGTTTATCCACTACGACAATGTCTGGTTGGTTCGCCATTACCATTTTGTCTGTCTGGATCTGGAAGTCCCACAGGATCTTAGCTCTGGCGTTCTCCACCACCTTTGGGGGTGTTTCCCACTTTGATCTTGGGGTTTCCAGTCCATATTCTGCACAGATGTTTCTGTACACTATGCCTGCCACTTGGTTATGTCGCTCCATGTACGCTTTCCCTGCCAGTATCTTGCACCCTGCTGTGATGTGCTGGACTGTCTCAGGGGCCTCCTTGCACAACCTACACCTTGGGTCTTGTCTGGTGTGGTAGATCTGGGCCTCTATTGCTCTGGTGTTTAGGGCCTGTTCCTGGGCTGCCAGGATGAGGGCCTCTGTGCTGTCCTTGAGTCCAGCTTTTTCCAGCCATTGGTAGGATTTACTGATATCAGCCACTTGGGTTATTTGCTGGTGGTACATCCCATGTAGGGGTTTGTCCTCCCATGATGGTATCTCTGGCACCTCAACCTCCGTTCCCTGTTGTCTGAGACATTCACTGAGCACATTGTCTGTTGAGGCTTTGTCCCTGATGTATTTATGAATCTTAGTTGTTTCGTCCTGGACAGTGGTTCTCACACTCACTAGTCCTCTGCCTCCTTCCTTGCGGCTCGTGTACAGTCTCAGGGTGCTGGATTTGGGATGGAACCCTCCATGCATGGTTAGTAGCTTTCTGGTCTTAATATCTGTGGCTTTTATCTCCTCCTTTGGCCAGCTAATTATTCCAGCAGGGTATCTGATTACTGGCAAGGCATAGCTGTTTATCGCACGGATTTTGTTCTTGCCATTGAGCTGGCTTCTCAGGACTTGCCTTATTCGTTGGAGGTATTTAGCTGTGGCTCCTTTCCTTGTGACCTCATCGAGGTTGCCATTTGCTTGTGGTATACCTAGGTACTTGTAACTGTCCTCTATGTCTGCTATTGTTCCTTCTGGGAGTGAGACCCCTTCTGTGTGGATGACCTTCCCCCTCT